AAATGATATTATACTCTATTGATGGTGATTTAGGAACACATGGCATTAATATGTCAAATTAAGACCAACAATTATTAGCAATATGTCACAGTTACCAACATCATGTATCATTAATGAAGTGTATCATTATTAGTACAAACCTGTCACAGAGGAGGAAGTGTTGGTTAGCCTCAGTGACCCTCCACTGCTTCTGGTTCACTCCTAGTCTATCCAATTCCTTATAAGGAAAGTGTATAATTATTAATAAAATGACCTCATTACATTCTATTAACAAGTGAAGGGAATAAATCACTCATTCAGTAATTAATGGGAGAATGGAATGAAATAATAGACTCCAAATATAGTACAGTATTATTAATATTGTAAAAATAATCGTGTGACTTTTGTTAAATTATTTCTTACCTTCTGCCAGTCACGAGGATTGAAATAAGTTGGAATGACATCTGTTAATGAAAGAGAGAGAGAGAGAGAGGGAAATTAGTAGCCACAATTCACTAAGAGACTTAGTTCTAGTAATGGAGGGACATATTCTCACCTTGAGAAGAAGAGGAGGATGAGGAGTGAGTGTCTTTAGTTTTATGAACTACTCGAGCGTAATCAAAAGCAAAGAGATGAAAGACACTACTGGGAGAGGAATACATCCCAAAGGAATTGACAACCTACAGATAATAGGCACACACTTCAGTTTAATATGTAAAGGTTATACACTGAGAGAAGTGACACATAAAGACATTGACAAGTATTTATTAAAAAGGAAGTGCATTAGTATATACACAATATAACTACATACAGTAACAGTAGTACAGACCAGTCTACGCCAGTACAGTACCAGTACCAGTATAAGTATAGGCCAGTACACTAACAGTAACAGTACAATGACAGTACAGACCAGTACAGTACTGGTATAGTAGTATAACTATACTTACATGTACTACATCAGACTTAGAGCAACTCTTGAAACTGAACACAACCTTTTGTAAGTCCTGGAATAAAAAGGATAAAGAAAGAAGATTAACCCATCACTCCTCCCCCTCCCTCCCTCTCTCTTTTACTTTACAGATTATTTCCAGTTCATTTATTTTCTTTGGCAGAGTTGACTTGGCAGTGACAAGCCTCTTCTTATTACTGCTGACTAGACACAATATAAACAAACAAACAAACAAATAAATAAATAA